ATTAGAAGACATACTCTTCACCTTATATCCTCTGGACCATTTTAATTTATTCATGAATATGTCCTGCAATTTTCATAAAATGACTATTTAGTAAGTCATCTCAAAACAGGTTCGTTAGCACCACTTTATTACAGAGCCCCATTTTTTCAAGTATCTTCCTCCCTCAGTTTTCTTAAAGTTTGGACGTTCTTAGCCCTGAACTTACATTCTTTGCCCTGTTTGTGCATTTTCAGCATCATTGGTGACTTGTCGGCACTAGAGGAGCTTCAGTTGAAGAAGATGTCTTCATAAGGCAAAAACCTCTCTAAATTTCAGGTGTCCCTAGGTGGTCAGTGCTCTTTGTCTGGGTTTTCATACACAGAGGCTCGCCTGAATCAAAGTTGTCCCGGGAAGTCCCTGGGTTTCACATGCCTTTGAATGTCCTGCTTACGGAAAGTCTATCTAAATAGAACTCCGTTCTAGCTCTGCCTGAGCTGGTTCTCCCCTTACCTCGCTTTAGTGTGCTGAGTGAGTTTTCATGCTGAGCTGCCAAAAGCCAGCTACTCAAGAAATAAACAAATACCTAAAGTAAAACACATATGCCTGTAATAAGAGTGTGCTGTGCACCACACTGATCAGAGGAGAAGGGCGTTATGGAGGTCACACTATGATGGAGTGGAGATTGTTTCCATGACTCTAAAAATGACAAAACCACGGGCCTGCCTTAGGGAGCTGGGAAGGATCCTTGAATTCTTGCAGTTCTGTCGGTTGTCGACTTTCTGCTGTGCTAATAATGCTGCTCAAGGCAGCACTGACACCGCTACAGGCCGCCTCAGATTCTGTCTTCCCCTGTGTGCTCCTCAGACGGGCACAGCTGAAGGGAGGTCTGGCCACGCACACGTAGAATTACTCCAGGACCCGTTTCCTGCTCTCTGTCCCCTCCCTCCCCACACCTCCTCACAGCAGATGCTGCTGCACTGACCTCCTGGTTGGCCCAACCACACTCTAATGAGAGGGAGGGAACATGGAGAAAACAGGACAGGCCCAGGTGGTAACCCTAAAACCAAGATGCCAGGACCAAGTGGAGTTGTACGCTGAGCCCCAGCGTGGGCTCTCTGACAGGTGGAATCCTCAACCAGTCAATCAGGAACCGTCTGAGCAGCACTGGTCAGTGCTGCCCTGACCCTGCCACCCTCAAAGATCCACCTTTTGTCTCAAAATGACCATTTATCATATTGGCATTTTTTTGGGGGTGCTTTGCACATAAGTACGTGAAACCACAAATATGAAATCAGCCACTATTAAGAGTATAAAGTCATCCTAACTCCAAAATTTCCCACACTCCTATTGCCCTCTCTCTCTCTCTCTCTCTCTCTCTCTCTCTCTCTCTCTCTCCCTGCCCCTCTCCCTCTCCCTCCCTCCTCTAAAGAAAAAGTGCAGACATTAAAATCCTGAGCAATAGCCTTACTACTGCTGGAGAAGTGAGCGGCTCCAACAAGTACTAAAAACGGCACCCAAAATAAATCAGAATACTAATCACAATTATTTTTTCAAATTATCAACATAACTCACCTCTCACTAATATCATTTGTTTCCTCATTAACTTTAAAGTTTACCTCATTTTACTTCCTTTTCTCCCCTCAAATACTTGTATGCTGCTCTGTCAGTAAAGTTTGACATGAAGGAAAAGTCAGACTTCTAACACTGAATCTGAGCTTCGCAAACAGTAGTCATAGAGGGCAAACAGAAACCCTTTGTAATAATTGACTCAGACAAAAATGAACCCCGCAATCAGCTACGAGAACGTCTGCCTTGCTCCCACGGAGGGCGCTCCCGCAGAGGCCTGGGCTGGTGGCTGGGGCTCTGTCCAAGGCCTGGACCAGCGGGGCCTCTGAAAGCCCCTCTGAGCAGGACCGAGTCTGCATCAGCGCCCTTCTCCTGCCCACTCCCTGCTCACCCCTGTAATCACTTCCCTCCGGAGCCTGCAGGTGCCTGCCCTCGGGCCTGGTGCCTGCTGCTCTGAAAGTGTCACCCAAGATGGGTGCCTTCCCCTTCACAGAAGGCCTCCTGAGCCTGGGGCCTGTGGGCCCATGGGGTCGCTGGCAGGAACGTCAGTCTGTTTGCAGAATGTGCTGTATTACTAGTTTGTGCTGCATACGGTGAACCTGACAAGTTAACAAACTTCATTCATTTATTTAAAATTCTGGTTTAGCCCTGGCCGGTTTGTCTCATGGGTAGAGCATCGGCTCATGCACAGAAGGGCTCCCAGGTTCGATTCCAGTCAAGGGCACATATCTTGTTTGAAGGCTCGATCTCACAGCTGCGTGTGAGAGGCAACCAATATATGTGTCTCTCTCACATCCATGTTTCTCTTGCTCTGTCTTTCCCCCTCCTTTCCACTCTAAAATATCAATGGAAAAATCCCCTCGGGTGAGGATCAACAAAAACAAACAAATCTGCTTTAGAACTGCACTCTCCAATGGAAATAAAATTTCAGCCACAAATTTACTTTTCAATTTTCTAATAGCCACATAGAAAGGAAAAAGAAACAGGTGAAATTAATCTCTAAAATATTTTTATTTAATCCAATATATCCAAAATATTATACCTCAACATCTAGTCAATGCACCTCCAAATCTGGGGTATTTTATACTTCAGGTGTCTCAGCTGGCACAGCTATTTGCCTCAGAAACATTTAACCTGTCTTTAACGTGTCACATGTACGGTTGAAAGAGCAGTTCACATGCCCAAGTTGTTCCAAACACACATGAAAGTCCTCCAATAACTGAATGGAGCCTCAGTTTCTACTTTTAAATTTAAATTAATTACAATTCCAAAAAGGTGAAAGTGTGCTCAGTCATACCAGCCACACTCCATAACTGAGCCTGGAGCTGCCCGACAGGCAGGCAGGTGCCTAGCCGCGGGCCCGTGGGCGCATCTTGGGAGTGGGGCTTCCAGTCCGTCCAATCAAGACGGAAATGCTGGCTGGCACACACTCTCTGGGTGACCTGGGGCAAGTCACTTACCCTCTCTGAGTCTCCTGTTCTCCTCTAGAGATTGGAGCTAACAATCCCACCTCACAGAGTTGTGAGGTAAAGTCCTAGTTATAAGAGGGCCCCTGCTATAGGTACTTAATAAATGCTACCTCCCCTTCACCCACTGAAAACTCCTTCATCCAAAAACTAATTTTGTAGAAAGGCAATTACTGTCTAAATTAAATGCGACCAAGCAGGAATATGTTTCCACCAAAGAGTGTGGAGCTTCTACTCAGCCTGTGAGTCCCAGGAGCCCAAGCATGGCAGGCCTCATAGACACCCTGAAGGAGGGCCACTGCTCACACATCCACTCACTTCACCTCCAAGAACCATCACACCCAGGAACCATCACCTCCAGGAACCATCACCTCCAGGAACCATCACCTCCAGGAACCATCACACCCAGGAACCATCACCTCCAGGAACCATCACACCCAGGAACCATCACATCCAGGAACCATCACACCCAGGAACCATCACCTCCAGGAACCATCACCTCCAGGAACCATCACACCCAGGAACCATCGCACCCAGGAACCATCACACCCAGGAACCATCACACCCAGGAACCATCACCTCCAGGAACCATCACACTCAGGAACCATCACATCCAGGAACCATCACACCCAGGAACCATCACCTCCAGGAACCATCACACCCAGGAACCATCACACCCAGGAACCATCACCTCCAGGAACCATCACACCCAGGAACCATCACACCCAGGAACCATCACCTCCACTCTCTTCACATCCAGGAACCATCAAACTAGGTTTTTGATAAAGGAATGAATTACCCTATGAGACTATTTGTGGGAAAGGAGTAGTGGGGAAAGCCTGGCATTGAGGCATAGGGATGGTGACTTCCACATTAGCAGAGACCCACATTGTCCACACATGGCCCTCAGTGTGCTCAACGACCTAAAGTCCAGGGAATTCTTCATATAAGGTCAGGTAACTGTTCTCCAGACCTCCTATTAGCTGCACCTCTCTCCATGTCTCTCTCTGGTTCCTGTGCCAGACAAGCCTCTTCCCCTTCTTTCCTATCAGGTACACCTGATTAGTCACTCAACATTCAACTCTCTCAGTACTTCCCTAAGCAGCATCACCTGCACCTCGCCTTCCGCCCGTCCTATCTTCACTCTGTCACTCTGGGGCTGGCACATCGGTCTATGTTGCACTTAAGGGTCCTATGTTTCAAACTATTCACTGAAATGTCTGCCCCTTCTCCAAGGACCTGAGTGTGTGCATTGTGACACAAGAGCGAGGCACCCCAGGCCCAGCTCTGTGCCAGATGCAGGGCTAAAGGGTCTGTGTTTGGGCAACTGAATGGAATTGCATTGAATTCAAATTTTTGCAGTCTTATGTGTGAAATCTTAAATGCCTGAGGTTCAGAGAACTGAGTTTTATAGTTTTATTTACAGTTTTCTAGAATTCCATTTTCTGGCATTTCATCTCTCCAGGAATTAGGACCCCAGCAGGTGTGATCTGACCCCAAGGGAAAGGCAGAGATAGAAATGGGAATGAGTGAAGGCCAGGAAAGAGGGTGGCACCAGAGAAGGTGCTGGGCTCGCCCCGACACAAGCACTGACATATACACTGTGGGGAGAAAAGGTGCTCCAGAGCGACAGGTGCGTGCTGGGTGAACAGCTGCTGAACCACAGACGAGACAACGGTTGAATGGAGAAGTGTGGGAGCCCACACCTTCTGGTAACTGTGAGAACTCCCCTGAATGGGGGTGTCCGTGGGCATCCTGTTTACCTCCACCCCCCCTCAACAAAACCAGCAGGAACTCGGCACCTGAAAGATCACCAAAGCCCGCTCAGGCACAGCACACTCAGCCAGGGCACACTCATCCAGGGCACACTTAGCCACAGCACACTTAGCCATGGCACACTCAGGCGCAGCACACTCAGCCACAGCACACTCAGCCAGGGAACACTCAGCCACAGCACACTCAGCCAGGGCACACTCAGTCACGGCACACTCAGCCACGGCACACTCAGCCACAGCACACTCAGTCATGGCACACTCAGGCGCAGCACACTCAGCCACATCACACTCAGCCAGGGAACACTCAGCCACAGCACACTCAGCCAGGGCACACTCAGCCACAGCACACTCAGCCATAACACACTCAGCCACAGCACACTTAGGCACAGCACACTCAGCCAGAACACACTCAGCCACAGCACACTCAGCCATAGCACACTCAGCCACGGCACACTCAGCCATAGCACACTGAGGCACAGCACACTCAGTCACACCACACTCAGCCACAGCACACTCAGCCATGGCACTCTCAGCCACAGCACACTCAGGCACAGCACACTCAGCCAGAGCATACTCAGCCACGGCACACTCAGCCAGGGCACACTCAGCAACGGCACACTCAGCCATGGCACACTCAGCCAGAGCACACTCAGGCACAGCACACTCAGCCAGGGCACACTCAGCCAGGGCACACTCAGCCATAGCACACTCAGACAGAACACAATCAGCCCTAGCACACTCAGCCACGGCACACTCAGCCGAGGCACACTCAGCCACAGCACTCTCAGGCACAGCACACTCAGCCATGGCACACTCAGGCACAGCACACTCAGCCATGGCACACACTCACCCATAGCACACACTCACCCACAGCACACACTCAGCCATAGCACACTCAGGCACAGCATACTCAGCCATGGCACACTCAGGCACGGCACACTCATTCAGCCACAGCACACACTCAGCCAAAGCACACACTCAGCCATAGCACACACTCACCCACAGCACACACTCAGCCACAGCACACACTCAGCCACAGCACACTCAGCCACAGCACACACTCACCCAAGCACACACTCAGCCACAGCACACACTCAGCCATAGCACACACAGACACACAGCACACACTCAGTCACAGCACACACTCACCCACAGCACACACTCAGCCACAGCACACAATCACCCACAGCACACACTCAGCCATAGCACACTCAGGCACAGCATACTCAGCCATGGCACACACTCAGCCACGGCACAGTAAGGCACAGCATACTAAGCCAGAACACACTCAGCCATGGCACTCTCAGGCACAGCACACTCAGGCACGGCACTCTCAGGCACAGCACACTCAGGCACGGCACGCTCAGGTACAGCACAGACAGCCATAGCACACTCAGCCACGGCACACTCAGGCACGGCACACTCAGGCACAGAACACTCAGCCAGAACACACTAACCCATGGCACACACAGAGCCATACCACACACTCAGCTACAGCACACATTCAGCCACAGCACACACTCACCCACAGCACACACTCAGCCATAGCACACACACACAGCCATAGCACACACTAACCCACAGCACACATTCACCCACAGCACACACTCAGCCACAGCACACACTCACCCAGAGCACACACTCAGCCACAGCACACACTCACCCACAGCACACACTCAACCACAGCACACACTCACCCACAGCACACATTCACCCACAGCACACACTCAGCCACAGCACACACTCACCCACAGCACACAATCAGCCACAGCACACACTCAGCCATAGCACACACTCACCCACAGCACACAAACAGCCACAGCACACATTCAGCCACAGCACACACTCACCCACAGCACACACTCACCCACAGCACACACCCACCCACAGCACACACTCAGCCACAGCACACACTCAGCCATAGCACACACTCACCCACAGCACACAAACAGCCACAGCACACATTCAGCCACAGCACACACTCAGCCATAGCACACACACACCCACAGCACACACACACCCACAGCACACACTCATCCACAGCACACACTCACCCACAGCGCACAAACAGCCACAGCACACATTCAGCCACAGCACACACTCAGCCACAGCACACACTCACCCACAGCACACACTCAGCCATAGCACACACACACCCACAGCACACACTCAGCCATAGCACACACTCACCCACAGCACACACCCACCCACAGCACACACTCAGCCACAGCACACACTCACCCACAGCACACAAACAGCCACAGCACACATTCAGCCACAGCACACACTCAGCCATAGCACACACACACACCCACAGCACACACACACCCACAGCACACACTCATCCACAGCACACACTCACCCACAGCGCACACTCACCCACAGCACACACTCACCCACAGCACACACTCACCCACAGCACACACTCACCCACAGCACACCCTAACCCACAGCACAAACTCAGCCACAGCACACACTCAGCCACAGCACACACTCACCCACAACACACTCAGACACAGCACACACTCAGCCACAGCACACACTCACAGCACACACTGAGGCACAGCACACTGAGGCACAACACACAGTCACCCACAGCACACAACACACACTCACAGCACACACTCACCCACAGCACACACTCAGGCACAGCACACTCAGCCACACTACTGAGCACCCATTTTAGTTCAGAGACAAGAATATAGAACCTCTGGGCCAACATCAAGCACACAAACACGGACAGCATATGCATCCCAGAAGGAGAAGGAGAAAGACACAAAACCCTAGGTGCTAATAAATAATGGTTGAAAATTGTTCTCACCCGACAGAGGAACAGGACATACAGATCTAGGAAACACTGAGAGTTTCAAACAAAATAAACCCCCCAAACCCACAGGAAGATATATTGTTATTGAAACAGCAAAAGTAAAAGTAAGGAGACAATTTGAGGGCAGCTTAAGCTACATCCATGCAAAGGAGACCTTAGATGTCTAGCTGGGTTTCTCAGTGGCAACTTTATAGGCCAGAAAAGAGGGGGCGGGGCTCTTTAAGGTGCTAAACACAAGAGAAACAATGGTTTATAATCCACCTGGCAGCAGGGTCATTCGGAAATGAAGGAGGGTCCTTTCCCAAACAAGCAAAACCAACAGGAGGCCCCCATGATTAAACCACCAGTTTAAAAGTGTTAAACGTCTTCTTTACACAGAAAATCAAACACCATAACCTGAAATGGAAAACATGGCGAAGGAAAAAAACCTCACAGGTGGGGCCAAATATCCGTACCCAAAGCAATATGCAGACTCCAGCGATCCGTGTCAGAACACATGTGACTGCTTTTCCAGAGTCAGTGATCTAGAACAAACAGCCCTGAAGTCATGCAGAACTACAAAGGACCCGACCACAGCAACCTTGAGATAAAAGAGCAAGTTGGAGGTACCGTGCTCCCTAGGTATTGAACTAAACTGCAAGGTTGTCGTCATCGTAGAAATATGGTCCTGGTATAAAAACAGACATGTAGATTAATAGACAAACTAATAAACACACACTATATGGTCAATTAATCTATGACAAAGAAGTCAAGAGCATACAACAGGGTAAAGTCAATCTCTTAAATAAATGGTGTTAAGAAAATTGGACAGATACCTTAAAAAATTAAGCCAGACCACGTTCTTACACCACATACAAGAATAAACTCAGAGAAACCAAGATGGCTGCATAGGTAAACAACCGGAAATTGCTGCCTCACACAACCCCTTCAAAAATACAACTAAAAGACAAAACGGACATCACCCAGACCCACAGGAAGGCTGGCTGAGCGGAAATTCTACAACTAGAAGGAAAGTGAAAAGCACACTGAGACTCAGAGGAGGTGTGTGGAAATAAAGTGCAGAAGTACAGAGTCGCATGTGGAAAGGGCTGGCAACTGGGGACGAGGTTGTCTTTTTCAATTGGGAGGGAGTCTCAAACTCCCTACTGCTCTGAACTCCAGTTCCGGGCGAGTCTCTGGGGACCCAGACTCACACGGGGAGAAACTGGACTGTCTGGCATCAGTCAGAACTTGAGGGCGGCTTTCTCTCAGAGGTGCTTGCAGCAATTACCAGGACACTGAGACATGGGGCCTCTTAGGGTAGGACTGAGGAGCAGCCATAGCTGTTTGCACTGCCCTGTTCATCCCCTGAGACCCCGTCCCACCCAAGCTGTGCACAGAGGCTTTTGCATATGAAACATTTGGCCCTTTGCAATCTGAAAATTACCTAACAAACTGCAGCTGGGTCAGAGAGACCCAGAACTTAAAAAAGAAGGTCCAAGGCCCCACAGCAGCTTGCATTGCTTCACAGCTGGGCCTCATCTGGGCACCTCCAAACCCCAAACAAGGAAGGGGAATCTGCATATCTCTTCATAGCTCCTGCTGTGTATCCTTAGGCAGAGGCTAAATTAGCACCTCCTTAGAGATTCAAGAGCCAGTGTACCCAGTGGTCAGAGTGGGACCATCAAGATTACAACTCCTCAGATCCATAAGGGACACACTCAGGGGGCAGACTCAGTGAGCACCAAAGCCCCAGTGAAGCAAGTCTTGCCCCATAAGGGTGTCTCCAGCACAGAAGTTCTCCCACTGCAGACACAGCTGATTCTCACAGCCAATTGGCCTGGAGGTCAATTCCTTCCAGTGATACCTACAACAATCAAGACTTAACTACAACAAGACTGCATGCAAAGCCCACAAAGGCGTGCACCAAGAGTGTCCACCTAAGGTAATTGGGGAGGCTGAGCCACTGGGCCCTATAGGACACCTAGCACACAAAGCCACTCTATCAACACAGGGAAGCAGCCAAAATGAGGAGACAAAACAGGTCACAAATGACAGAAATGGAGGAAAGCAAAACCACAATTATAAGGTTTTTCAAGAATTTTTCTAGAAACCACCAATAAATTTTGTGAGACCCTCAAGAAATCTAGTGAGACCCTCAAGGTTATGAAAAAGGACCAACTAGAAATTAAGCATACACTGACTGAAATAAAGAATAATTTACAGAGATCCAACAGCAGACAAGAGGATCCCAAGAATCAAGTCAAAGATTTGAAATACAAAGAAACAAAAAATACCCAACCGAAAAAGAAAAAAGAAAAGAGATTCCAAAAATATGAAGATAGTGTAAGGAGCCTCTGGGACAACTTCAAGCGTACCAACATCAGAATTATAGGGGTACCAGAAGAAGAGAGAGGGCAAGATATTGAAAACCTATTTGAAGAAATAATGACAGAAAACTTCCCCTACCTGGTGAAAGAAATAGATTTACAAGTCCAGGAATCACAGAGAACCCGAAACAAAAGGAATCCAAAGAGGACCACACCAAGACACATCATAATTAAAATGCCAAGAGCAAAAGACAAAGAGATAATCTTAAAAGCAGCAAGAGAAAAACATTCAGTTACCTACAAGGGAGTACCCATATGACTGTCAGCTGATTTCTCAACAGAAACCATGTATGCCAGAAGGGAGTGCAAGAAATATTCAAAGTGATGAATATCAAGTACCTACAACCAAGATTAGTCTACCCAGCAAAGCTATCATTCAGAATTGAAGGTCAGATAAAGAGCTTCACAGATAAGGAAAAGCTAAAGGAGTTCATCACCACCAAACCAGTATTATATGAAATGCTGAAAGGTATCCTTTAAGAAGAGGAAGAAGAAGAAAAAGGTAAAGATACAAATTATGAACAACAAATACACATCTATCAACAAGTGAATCTAAAAATCAAGTGAATACATAAGCTGATGAACAGAAAAAAAAAAGAATAAATTCAAAACGGATGAAAGAGGTAAATGTAAGATGCCCA